TGTCATGGCCTTATCACAGCCCTCATTCTAGAACACCCTTCTCTCCTCTCTTCTCCCTTCACATCGGACTGGTTCTCTATTGTTCCTCACGGCCAGTGCTGGTTTGAAGACCTCTTCTGCATTTGCAGGTATAAAAGAATGTGCAACTTTCTTCCCCCTTGAAGTCATTGTCTATATTTAGGTCAGTGACGTGATGAGAGATGTTGATGTGTTTTGTACCTCGCGCTGAAAATTGCCTCTCCAGATCTGGGGGAATGGGGAGGGTCTAATGGCACTCACAGCCCACGGCCGCTGGGTGGGATCTGTCTCCTATGGGCCCCCCCCCCCCCCCCCCCCGGCCTCAGAAACAGTGTCGCAGAAATCCCACCCTGGCCTCCCTGAGACTCTGTATGAGGGAGGGCACTGTCTTATAAAAAGGTGAGAGGAAATGTCAGGAAGTTGCTTTATCCTTTACCTGGAGCCCCAGCCCAGCACTCTGTTCTGTCAAGTAGAAAATGCGGCCCTGGTAAATCCTGCCCACAAAGGAACTGCGCCTTTTTAACATGCAAATGTTCAGTCAGGGAAAGTAAATAGACATCTCCTCCTTCAGGGAACCAGGAGACAATCTAGGAGCAACCCCCCAGCCCACCCCCACCCCCAACACCCTTTCCCCGTCCTCTTCTCATTCTGAAAGAAAGAAATTCTAGTCACACACACACACCCCCCCCGCCCCGATTATTCGTATTTCTTTTTTAACGGGAAGGAGGGGCTTGCTTTGAATCACTCTTAAGCCAGTCTTCTGCCCCAACTTCCTCCCCGTCTAGATAGGCTTCATTAATTTGATAAGCCGACACCAAAAGAGAAGAGTGGCTGGGGGAGGGGGGGGAGTGGTTTGCAGGAGGGGCTGCCTAGAGGCTGCCCTGAGGTTTTAGAAGATGAACTGCTAATGATGTTGAAGACATCTTTACCTTTTCAGACTGCCATGTCCCTCTGGAAAATCAGGGTCTTCTTTCACTTCTTCTAATTGTACTGCAAGAACTGAAAAATAGGGGCCTGGTTGGAACAAGGAGGGGACGGTGCGATGGCCAGGGGCGGGGCGGGAGGGGTGGGGGATGGCGAGGACCGGTAAGTAGACAGATGCTTCTCCGAGGAGGAATCAGAATGCGTCAGCTCCACAGCTTGTCTGGCCTTTGCTTGAACAGGGTAACTGATATTGTCATGCTAAAGAGTCGGAAACTAATGGGGGGAAATAGATTAATTTGCTAGGTCATTTATTGAACACTCTCGCCTGATACTTACAAACTAGTGAAATTCGTGTATATTGGCAATGTGAATATTTTGATCAACATCTGTGACCCTTGAATTCAAACCAAGGAGGATGCAAACCGCAGAACTTTTGACTTTTCAGATGCCCTAATCTTTGCCAGCCCTTTCCCATCTTCGAATGTGATAGAAGCTGAGTATGTCTAAGACAACCATATGTACAATCTGCCCAAGATGTCCCAGTTTATGCCACTTGTCCTGGTTTGGACAAAAAAGATACATATTTGCCCTAATTCTGCTGCTCAGCAACTGGAAGAGACTGAGAGATCCCAGCTTCAGTATAATTTTATTTTTGTCCTCTCTTCTCTTGCGTACTTTCAAGACCATTCTTAAGCATGTACTGAAAACAAATGTAGGAGGCATTCTGAGGATGGAAAGCCATTGAAGCAAGAATCTTTTCTCATTTTAGTTAGTGGCACGATGAGCAATGTGTAGATTTAACTAAAACCTTGAATATTCTTGAATCACAGATCGAAATCATACACTTGTTTGTTTTGCTTCTGAAATAAATACCGAGGTGGGTGTGGGGTGTCAATGGGCATCATTAGTTAACTGAAAACAACCCAGGCTACTGCCCCCCAGAGTTTCTGCTTCAGTAAATATTTTACTTCCTCCTCAATTTTACCAAGTGACAGTAATTGTTTGCCAATGTCAGAGCTAACTGCTTTGTGGATGCCGGGAGCGGCTTTGAGCCTGAGGGGTGAGAAGGTGGGGGTAATTATTTCAAATAGATGAATGGGTCTTGGCCCCTGGACTTACCAATTGCTTAACTAGACTCTAAATTGGAATGGCTTATTTATGAAACAAATACTTATTGAGTACCTGTTGTGTACCAGCCACTTTTGTTCTAAATGCTTAAAATATCTGTGTACCAAAAAGATAACGACGCCTGCCCTCGCGCAGCTTACATTCTGTTCTAGCGGACATTCAACATAATAAGTAAGTGTAAAGTGTATAGTGTGTTAGTTGTAAGTGCTATGGAAAAAAGAAAAAGTAGAGCAGGGTGAAGGAGATGTTAAGAGATAAACTGAGGCATATTAAGATTTTTTTTAAGAACTTATTTGAGCAAAAATCAATTCAAATGGGTAGCACCAAACCAGAAATCATTAGGAGTGCTCAGCAGACAGAACTAAGGGGAAAGACTTACAAAGAATAGAGAAAAGGCAGAGGCAAAGCAAGGACATTATTTGATTGGCTGTAACTTACTTGGAAAAGCCCAGTTGGCTGTTTTTGATTGGTTGTCCTTAGGTTTTGATTTCTCCATGAGACCTTTACAGACTTAGGTTTTTGTTTGTTTCCTTAGGCTGTCGAGGTATTAGAACCACGTCCGTCTGATGACCTCCTTGTTTAATGAATTTAACAGAAGGTCGAGTGAAGGTCTTGGGCAATGGGTTCATGAGCTGCTGATGCCTTAAATCCCACTCCTGTACTACTTACTGCCTCCCACCTGAACAGAGCCCACACACAAAGGCCAAGGACAGGGAAGGTCAACACTCACACGCAGAGCCGCGAGAGGTACGACCCAGGCAAAGGATGGTTAAGGTCCCCTCTTGGGGTGGAGGGCTAGCCTCAGCAGGACCAGTTCAGTTCAGGATTCCCAGCTGGACTTTTGGGTATCTTTTCAGCCATTGCCAGTGGTCCCTCATGTAACCTGCGGTGTGAAACTTACCTTTTCCCGATGCTGAGCATATTCATGGAATCACAAGGTACGGGTGTTCAAATGTGGCTGACCTCGATGATGAGGAATCATTTACTGATGTTCTAAGGAGGAGTAAACCAGTATTATGAGTTTCCTAACACCCACTGACATCCCAAAGACAAAACTATAAAATATCCAAGTTTTCCCTATGTTTGGTCCATTTTATTCATTTTAAAACTACGGTATTTTTTTTGTTTTTTGGTTTTGTTTTTTTTGTTTTTGGTTTTGTTTTTTTTGTCCCTGCATGTGTTCTACACCTGCAGCTAAATAGGAAGGATTCAAGGCATAGACCCGTACACCCACGCCCCTGCCTGATTTTAGAGCACTTTGGGGAGAGATCGTAGCCAACCATTTCTTCCGTTCCTCAGAGTCAGGGCTGTGCTTGCTGCATCCCTGTAAAGATGATGGCATCGATTTGGTTGAAAAGCAAAGCAGATGGAGTTCTGATTATTCTTTCCCACTCCTTACCTGGGACTGGAATTAGGATTCCTAGCTTCCTGCCTGCTTAGGGTTTAGATGTGGAGCAGATCACTGAAGCGGGCCCATACCTACCCCCCCATGCAGGCTGCCATCTTGCCGAGGCCCCGACGTCTGTGTGTACTTCTGCAGCTGCTTCCTTTTTGCTTGTGGTCAGCAAAAGGAAGGAATGGATTCAAACGAAGCCCACTTTCTGATGGAGCAGATACTGTGCTTAAGTGTGGAGAACACTTACCCTGGCAGAAATGCCCTGCCCATATGTCTGGGGCCAAGAGGGGCACTCCTGAGACTCAGAAGCATAAGGCCTGATTTTTCCTCCCACAAACCTGTTGCCCAAAGAAGCAGAGTGGGGCTGGCAGGAAGCCTGAGGCCCAGAACACACACTAGAAAGTCAGCACCAGGGGCACCCAGGTGGCTCAGTCAGTTAAGCATCCGATCTTGATTTCGGCTCAGATCATGGTCTCAGGGTTGTGAGATGGAGCTCCATGTTGGGCTCCATGCTCAAAGTGGAGCATGCCTTATCCCTGTCCCTCTGCTCTTCCTCCTGCTCATGTGTGCTCCCTCTCTCTGTCTCTGTCTCTCAAATAATAAATAAAATCTTAAAAATAAATAAATAAATAAAAGGAAGAAAGAAAATCACCAAGCGCAGAGTGGGAGGCTCTAGTCTCCTGGAGCCCTTGTCTCTGAGGCCTCTACTGCCTTGTTTACCACCATGATGCTGATGATGACGATGATCTTGACTTTTTTTTTTTTTTTTAAAGATTTTATTTATTTGACAGTGAGAGACACAGCGAGAGAGGGAACACAAGCAGGGGGAGTGGGAGAGGGAGAAGCAGGCTTCCCGCGGAGCAGGGAGCCGGATGCGGGGCTCGATCCCAGGACCCTGGGATCATGACCTGAGCCGAAGGCAGACGCTTAACGACTGAGCCACCCAGGCGCCCCGATGATCTTGACTTTCAATGGCCTTACCAACACAGAGGGCTAAGAAAGCTGTGTGAAGTTTAGAAACTTCTGGTCCCAATTAGATGGTTTATATCCCATTTCATCTACTCTCCAAATACTGAAGTTCCATAGGCAATTGGGAGCTTGGAATTAATAATTTAAAAAAATAAGTACTTCCTGGATGCTTACCATTCACCTGGTACTGTGGTGAGTGTCTTATCCCACTTAATCCTTGCACATCCTTCGAATTGAGGCACTATTACCCACATTACATAGAGGAGAAAAAGGAGCCTAGCTCCCAGTCACCCAACTACCAGAGTCAGGGTACACAGTCAGGTTTTGAACTCAGAAACGGCACATCTGCCAGCCAGGCCACGTTCCCTGACTCCCCTGCTCTCGGCCTCTGCTGTTGTTCTGGGTGGTAGAAAGACAGGCCTTGCAGCAGGGCCTTGCTTCCTTCGATTAGCTTGTTGCCTAATACATGTATTTCACAACCTTTGCAACTGATAGTTCATCTAATTAACTTAAAGTGAAACTCAGTGATCAGCTCCGTTCAGGCAAACAAAATAATCCATTCCGATAATGATAACAATAGATTTACTTTGATAACAGAAATTGCTGCTTCCAGTCAATTTGATAATGGGTTTTCTCATAGAAACCTTCAAGCAGTGTCACCAAACATTTTACACGTGGGAAATAGGCATAGAACAATTTAGCAGTCTGTGGAGAGAAGTCCTCAAAGGTGCTCCTATCCCTTGGCCCAGCAATTATACTTAAGGAAATTTATGTTAACAACATGATCAGAGATGAGATGAAAGAAAAAAATACATATATATATGGATATTATTTGGCATTATTATGACAGCATTATTTAGTGGTAAAAAATTACAAAAAATAACTGTATGCCCAAAAATAGAGGACTGGTTAAACAAATAATGGTACACTCAACTGAAAGAATATTTCAAAGCTATTAAAGTATTTTAGAAGAGGGTTTAAGAACTTGGGGAACGTCCCTGATATAATAAGTGAAAATATGCAGAATAAAGAACTATATATGATCCCAATATTTTAAGGAAATTGAGAATGTAAACAACTTGAGATTGAATTTTTGGCTTAGTGACATGGAGAGAACAAGGTTTTGTTGTTGCTGTTTTCCCATCCCTGAAGCCAGAGTAAAGCTTTTCAGAAATAACCTAGAGAAAATTGTGACAATGGAAGAGATACTTTGTCTCATCAGCCTAAGTTCCAGGGAAATGAGTGATAGGATAGCTCAGCATCAGTCTTGAAATGACTTCAGGTTTCTCTTCAATTTTCGTCTTTTCCTGAAAACACATTTAACGTGAATTTATATTCTAATACAAGCCGGTATTTTTGCAGTTTCATGTCCCTTCAAAAGCAGTCTCTTTCAAAGAGAAGCAGAGGTTTCTGTGCCATTTGCTTAACAGCCCCTTCGTTGCCAAGATCTCCAAATAAGTTGGTCAAGGGGCTGACAAACATTTTCCCGATGAGAAAAATGGCCGTGTCGGAGATTTGCACTGCTGACCTGAATGCATGCGTCATATCTGCCACATCCCTGTGGATGGAGAGGTCATTTCTTCATTATACTAGAAGTGAAAGACAGGGAGAAAGTTAGGGTATTGGAGTGCTGAGCACAGCACCATTGCCCAAATGAGAAAGTCCAAGTCATCAAAATATTCTCTTACCAGAGGAGTTGGAGGAGAAGAAAATGAGCAGATTGTTCAACACGTAGGAAGACAGCTGAAAAGGAGGACTCTGTGTGTCCCCTAATTTTGACATAAAATATCAAAGGTAAACCCTCAGAATCAGTTGAAGAAACTCTTCAAACCTCGGTAGGATTAGAGTGGAGAAACATCTGAGTCAAGAATTTGTAAGAAAGCTACCTCCTTGTATCTCAATATTTATACCAATCCTGCTTTCATAATTAATCCTATCGCTGACAACACTTGGATGTTTAGAAATAGTCATAACTACCTGTGACCACTTACTTTTTGGCAATATAGCCCAAGTGGAAGAAAATGTCCTTAAAGAGGTGGAGGCAAATGGAAGGCTAGTCTTGCAAATCCAGCCAATCAAATGACTGTGGACATCACGCCAGTCTTCCCTAAGTCAAACCTGAGGGAAAAAATGACAAAATATTGAGCCACTTCAAATAGAGGATACACTTGGAACCATGTCACCTATGGAGCAAAACGCTAACTTCTTAGCATTACATTCAAGATTATATATAACCTGACCCCAGATGCCCTCCCAGCTTCCTCTCTCTCTCACGACGTCCGTCAGGCCTGGAATGGCCTGAAACGCTCTGCTTCTCTGCTCATTGAGATCACACTCTGCTTCCCGGGTCGAATCAGACACCACCTCAGTCAGAAAAGATCTGACCTTCCTTGCCATACCTGTAGATTTTTATGGGTGCCTTCACAGTGTTTATTTCATTCCGCCTTTACATTTTAGTTGGTTATTTATGTTTCTCTCCCCTGTAAGATTGTTATTCATCTGTAAATGGCCCTGATGCCAAGCCAAATGACCGCATGCAGTAGTCGCTTAATACCTGTTTGCTGAATTAATTAAAATACAAGATAGTATATAAATATTAAGATGTTTGATGGAGGTCACATGTGCAACCATGCTTTCCTGACAAAAAAATAATGTCTGTCCTGTCTGGGGGCAGAATATTTTTCATTAGACTAATCCTAAAAGACCCACATTAGGAAGGCTACTGTAATACCAACCCATGATAACGGCTAACATTTTCTAGTATTGGCTACGTTCTAGGCATTGCACTAAACCATTTCCACATAATATCTCTTCTGATCATCCCAACAACCTTATGAGGTTTAAGTACTATGATTATGTCTGCATTTTACCAATAGGAAGCCAAGACTTGGAGGAGTGTCATAACCAGCAAATCCGGGAGCCGCTGCAGATACTTTCTCTGCAGAACTTGTCTCTCTCTCACCTTGGAGGAGGCCCTGCTCCCTGGTGGTTGCCATTATTTGTGCAGGATAGCTGGGCATCTGCTTATTTCAATCACAGCGAAGTGGGCCTCACAATAGGTGCTAGTATCTTTTGTAAACAGTTTTTCTGGCTCTGACATATTTTCTCCAATTATCACTGGTCTTCAACAGTATTTGAGTATTTGATGATTTTCTTATTCTAGGGAAGCTCTAGAATATATCAACTCCGAAGTGAGGTGGGCTTCTTGTAAGTAAAATAGCCATACATAAGAAGCATAATAGTATTCTCGAGAAAAGAAGCAATAAGATGATAGATGATAGATAGATAGATAGATAGATAGATGATAAATAGATGATATACCAGAAGAGATTTATTATAGGAATTCACTCACATGATTATGGAGGCCAAGAAGTGCCACAATCTGCCATCTGCAGGCTGGAGAACCAGGAAAGCTGGTGGAGTAATTCAGTCTGAATCTGAAGGCCTGAGGATCAAGGGGCTGATGATCTAAGTCCCAGTCCAGTCCAAGGCCTGAGAACCAGGAGTGCCAAAGTCCACGGGCAGGAGACGTGGATGTCCCAGCTCAAGCAGAGAGCGAATTGGCCCTTCCTGCACCTTTTTGTTCTATTCAGGCCCTCAATGCACTGGATGATGCCCACCCGCCTTGGTGAGAGGGATCATCTTTACTCAGTCCGCTGTTTCAAATGTTAATTTCTTCTAGAAACACCCTCATAGACACACCCAGAAATAATGTTTTACCAGCTATCTGGGCATCCCTAAGCTCTGTCCAGCTGACACATGAAATTAACCATCACAGGAAGGAACAGTGATATGCCCTCAGTTAACTAGAGCAAACATTATATAAGAGATTCGTCCACATTTAGCAAATGTTGATTGAGCACACACTATGTGCCAGGTAGAAGCCGGGGACAGAATGCTGAACAAAACAGAGATGGTCCCTAACCTCATGCACAGGAGTCTAACACAGAGACGGACATTCGTGAAATAATCACACAGATACGTAATTACAGGATGAGGGCCAGTGCTGTGAAGAAGTGTATAGATGGCCTTGAACGTCTAGAGCCTAGTGAAGGTGGAAGAGTAGTCAGGGAAGACTTCTCAGAAATCTAGAAAAGCATGGGGCGCCTGGGTGGCTCAGTCGGTTAAGCGACTGCCTTCGGCTCAGGTCATGATCCTGGAGTCCCGGGATCGAGTCCCGCATTGGGCTCCCTGCTCAGTGGGGAGTCTGCTTCTCCCTCTGACCCTCCCCCCTCTCATGCTCTCTCTCTCTCAGTCTCTCTCTCAAATAAATAAATAAAATCTTAAAAAAAAAAAAAAAGAAAAAGAAATCTAGAAAAGCAAAAGAAGGTAGCTAGGGCAGTGATTCTCAAAGTGTAGTTCCAGGACCAGCAACACCAGCATCAACTGGAGGCTTCCTTGTTAGAATTGCAAATCATTAGGCCACACCCCAGACCCACTGAACCAGAAACTCTGGGGGTGAGGCCCAGTGTTTGGGGTTTAACCATCCCTACAGGTAATTGTGATGGACCCTGAAGTTTGAGAACCACTGCACCAGGAGATGAGCACCCAGGGCAGAGCATTCCAGCTAGAAGAAATCATGTAGTGAGGCCCCAAGGCTGGGAGAAAGATGGCAAGCTTGCTAGGCGAGCCAGTGGAGCTTCCAGAAGGCCCCACAAAGAGGATGATGGGGTAGATGGAGCCTGGGACATACACCTGGGTCAGATTGCTTCAGGGCCTGTGGTAAGGATTCTGCCCACTGTCCTAAGAGCCATGGAAAGCCACAGAAGAGTTTTAATTAGGCATGTGATATGATCACACGTGCATTTTGAAGACATCCCTCTGACCACAGCATAGAGAACTGAGTAGACTTCAGTCCTCTAATTTGAAAACTGATAAAATGGAGTGGAAGGCTACTGGAGCAAAAGGAAGTGAGTGGAGTGGAGATACCTTGAGGAGGTGACCCCAAAAGGGCTTTGACCAATTTTGAAATTTGGGACTGAGGGAGAGAGATGCGTCAGGATGGAGCTTAGCTTTCTGGGTTGTGAAACTTGATTGACGGTGGTGGTTCCAGTCACTGAGATGCAGAGCGTGGAGATCATGTATTTCTCAATACTGAATTTGAGAAACCTTTGAGATATGAATTAGACCTTCGTTGAAACTGGATGGATGAAAGCCAGGGAAAAGAATAATTCTTGAGGGGAGTCCTGTGGTAACTGCATGAGCCAAAGGATGGAGTTGGAAATGAGTTTTCTGATGTTTGTTTGCCCGTTTTATTTTTTATTTATGGATCCATTCACACATCCATTCACTCATTCTACTTCTCACACCCTCCCAAGAACATGGAAACATTGGAAGGACAGAGGAGGATTAGTAGGTGGGATGGGACTGGCTATGGCAGATCTTGAATTCCAAGCTGACAACTCTGGATTACCACTGAAGGCAGGCAGGGTAACATCATGGCAGAGGTATGTTTCAGGAAGATTGACCTCGTAGTGTTACAGGTAGGCGAGAATAGAGGGAGGAGGACATCACACAGTAACTCTAAGGATGCTAACAGACTACCTCGTGTAGTATAAGGTTGTAATTATAATATAAGGTTAGCATGAGGGGTGACAATCAGATCCATATACATTCATTCATTATACTACATACAAGAGGCTATATATCTTTAACCTATCTCTCTATTTAGGTTTGGGAATAGGAAAAGATAAACTTTGAGAGTAGGAAACTAGGTCTTTTTCCTGTTTCAGTTTTTCATAACCAAGCAGGGGTAAAGTATCTTAATGGAAGCTAATGTTAATCAGAAGTGAAAGACTGACACACAGTAGGCCCTGGAAAACATCTATGAGGTTGAACTGGATCAACGCCACTGGGGTAGTGAGAGAAGATGCAGCTCAATGGAGGACTCCTCAAGGGGAGAGGGGAGCGCGATGGGGGCCCTTGCATGAGAATTAGGACCTTGGTGACCCCCATCTGTTCCTCCTTTCCTCCCTCCCTCCCCCACCGCTGCCATGGCGACAAGTCTGGAATCACAGTAAGCCTTATACCCCAGAGAAAAGAATACGCTGTTTGAACGGTGCAAGTTGGCCTCCAAGGTTCCTGGTCCGCAGGCCCCATCCCCCACATTCAGGGGATTCTTACAAAAGGCAGCTTTTACCAGAGGGTCAGTGGCACTGCCACTCATCGATCTGAGCCCATTTTATCCCTCAGCACTTCCCACTTGTTTGTTTTTGAACTCACACCACCGCCTCAATGCTGTTGGTCTTGTTTTGGCTTGAGGTTCCCCATGTGGCCCTCTGCATCCCCTCTGCTCAGCCCCACAGAGCAGTGTGCTTCTTTCTTGCTTGTGTCTTCTTGTCACTGCTGTTGACTCACCAGGCTGGGGCTGTTGGAGCTAAACTGAATTAGTAACAATGCAATCAACATCTCTATTTTTATCTTTGTTCTCCCCACCCTCCCGCCCCTCCGGAGTGACTCACCATTTCTGGGTCTCAGAGCTTGGCAGTCTTAAAAGAATTATACTGGGGCTGAGGTGAATATATGCACAGATGTGATATTTCTACCATTAGATACAATGCGTATTTTCTTTCTTCTTTTTTTTTTTTTCCTAGTGGCACAAGGTTCAAACATTGTAAGTATTATTTATTATGCTCATCGTCATCCTTAACGGTTACTGTGTTACTACTCAAGCTGCTGTTTATCTCCTGAGGTCTAAGATGAATTGTAGGCAAGGAAGGAAGTCCTGACCTGATTTCTGAAACTCAGCTTCAGAGAAAACTTCAGTTTTGAACTGAAACTTTTAACCTTATCCCAATTGAATTCTGGAAGCCTGCGCTAGAATCCATAGAGAGGGTATACCAAACAGAATATTACCTGTAAAAAAAAACGAAAACAAAAACAAAAAAACACCATTAATGCAAAATATCTTTTCCTACCTAGGCCTCCATGTGCTGATAATTATATTAATTTTATAACTTATAAAGATGGATCTAAATTAAGAGCCTGGTTTTGGGAATCCCACCCTACCATTTATATAATCTTGGGCTAGTTACTTGATTTCTTCGTGTCTTAATTTCCCCTTCTGTAAAACGGAGACTTTTACCTCTCATCCGTACATCATAGTACATATCTTGTAGAAGTGTTTTGAGAATTATTTAAGTTAATATCTACAAAGTGCTTAAAATAGTGTCTAGCACATAATAAGCTCTCAATAAATGTTGGCTATGATTATTCAACAGGTCTTATTGCCTGTTCTGAGAGTAAATAAAAAGAGTTTTATTTTAATAAGCACAGTGCACCTCAGGATTTTACCTTCCCTTGTTTCTGAATTCACAGGCCATCCATTTTATGGACACCTGAGTGGACACTACGTTACAGAACAGACCTCTTTATCTTTCATTCAAAAGTACAGCTTTCTAGCTTTCCAGTTACCTGAATGACCATTCCCTGCGGTTGGGGCATATCTAAACGACAGCCACAAATCAGGACTCAGAGAAGGTTAGGGACAGTGCTGCCAGCATGGAACCCCTGGGACAGAGACCCCTCCCCACCCCAGGAGGGCTCCCAAAGCCTCAGAGAGTTAGACACACTAAGTGGCCCTCCGCGAGAACTAGTCTGCTCTTTTGTTTTTCAGTTGGTATCTTTATCTGAGTAATACGGTTTCAAAATTTGAGCGGCCGCATCGTTACGTAAAGTGTGTACAATGAAAACAGCAGTCCTGGGGCGCCTGGGTGGCTCAGTTGGTTAAGCGACTGCCTTCGGCTCAGGTCATGATCCTGGAGTCCCTGGATCGAGTCCCGCATCGGGCTCCCTGCTCAGCAGGGAGTCTGCTTCTCCCTCTGACCCTCCCCCCTCTCATGTGCTCTCTCTCATTCTCTCTCTCTCTCAAATAAATAAATAAAATCTTTAAAAAAAAAAAAAAGAAAAAGAAAAAAGAAAACAGCAGTCCTGCCCTACACCTCTCCCCTTCCTGATTTCTGTTCCCTAAAACTTGACAGTATTTTAGCTGTTTCTTCTGGCATGAACCTCTGTATTTTTAATAACATGTTTCTACAGTTATCTCTTGATCATCATGTTTCAGATATTACCGCTTGACTCCTTACCACGGAAAATATGGATTCAGCTCACTTAGCCCTTCTACCTCTCAAACATGCTTCCTCTTCCTCCTTGTCCCCAATTATTGTTGTATCACAAGTCTTGGTGAAATCAGTCCTCGTGTGTGTGTGTGTGTGTGTGTGTGTGTGTCTAGTGTGGTAGATAAGTGTTCATAGCTGAGCCAAATGGTAGGCTTTGATTACATTTATATCCTGCAGTTGTTGGCTGTATTGCTTTGTTTGCTTAATTTTTTTTTTTTTAATTTGTCAGAGAGAGAGAGGGAACACAAGCAGGGGGAGTGGGAGAGGGAAAAGCAGGCTCCCTGCTGAGCAAGGAGCCCGATGTGGACTTGATCCCAGGACCTGGGATCATGACCCAAGCCGAAGGCAGATGCTTAACCAACTGAGCCACCCAGGTGTCCCTGTTGCTTGCTTAATTTTTTAAGTTCCTGTCCTTAAGCCATTCACAGAATCTTCATCAGCAGTATAAATCTCCTCTCAGTACCTTTGCGAACATAGGTCATCAATCCATTTCTTCATGGAGTTATTCATCCTGGAGCTCCTCGTCTTTCTCCTCCCACGTGGGTTGGTGCTAAGACTGCTGCAGAGCTGGCATCCCGAGCCTCCTTTCCACCTGGCTCCCGTGTCGGGTCCCCTGTTCATGGAAGCCAAGTCTTCTCCAGCTTGGGTTAGTCCTCATTTTAGTGGACTATCTCCTCTAACCACTGCCTGAGAACTCATGAATTTACACGAAAGGTAAATATTTGAGGTCTTGCACATATGAAAATAGCTCTATTCTTCTCTCATATCTGACTGGATGTAGCATCCTAGGCTATAAATAACTCTCAGGAGGAATTTTGAACACTTAATGCATTTTATTCTGGCTTCCAAAGGATTGCTGCCAAAATGCCCATTGCTCTTCTAATTCCCACCCTTGGGAAACTTTGAGGGTCTTTTTTTAAATTCTTGGCTTTCTGAAATTTCACAATGATGTATCCTAGTGTGGTCCCTTTTGTATTCATTGCTCAGGGAATTTTCTAGGCCTTTTCAATATGGAAGTTCATGTCCTTCAGTTGTGGGAAATTTTCTTACGTGATTTCATTGATAATTTCCTCCCCTTTGTTTTCTCTTCTCTCTCTCTCTGGAACTCATGTTATTTGGATACTATACCTTCTGGACTGATCCCCCATTTTTCTTATCTTATTCTCTTCTATTTTTCCATCTCTTTGATTTTTGTTCTACTTTTCTAAAGATTTCTTAACATTATTTAGTTTGACATTATTTCTACTTTAGTTTGACAACCTTTAGTTTGACATTATTTCTACTACCGTGTTTTTAATTTATAAAAGTTTTATTTTTGCTTTTAAAATATTTATATACCATCCTGTTCATAATTTATAGTTAATTAATTTTTTCTGATATTAATGATTTTTTTAAACCATTCTCCTGTTGCCTTTATTTCCTCTGTTTTCTCTTTTCTATTTGTTTGGACTCTGCATCTTGTGTTAGAGGCTTTCCTCATACCTATACATTCATTGTTAAGAGGAAGATATTAACAGTGTAACTGGGAGTCCTGTGTTTATATGTGAGGACTTCCAAGTGGTGGTGATTGGCCTGGAACCCAGCCATGGGGCATCCAAAATCTGTTAGTCATTTCTCATAGACTGGCTAATTTCCCTGGGGAGGAACCTACTGATCTTCTGTTTAGGAGATATAAGACTGGTTGCCAGTGTTCTTGAAGCTAAGTGGAAGAAAGGTTTGGAGTGGAGGAAGGTTATCTCACCACTGACCTGTAGATTTCCACTTAATTCCCCTGTTGCCAGTATAGCAAACCTCCCCCCCCCGCCCCGCCCGCCCCGCCCCGCCCCAGCCTTCAGCTGTGCTTTGTGTCCATATGCCAAGTCCCTCTGCTTCCACTTCTTGAAAAAGGAAACCACCAACCCTTTCAGGGAGGAGGAAGCAAAGTGGTATGGCCATGCACAGAAGGGTCTCCGTGTCTAACCCTTCTTATACAGACTTTCAACCAACACTCCTGTTTTTTAGCCCCGTCTACACCCTATCGTCAGAGGTATCTGATGCCTCCAGTAGTGCCTGCCACACAGAGTGTACATCCCTGAGCTTTTTAAGGTTCTTAACATACATTGGTTCCCTTCTCCTTGGCTTTTCCCCATTGAAACTTCAGATTTCAGCTTTTTCTGCTCTGCTAAATTAGCTACCACTCATTCATCAGCTTTCCAGTTTCCATAATTATGTTGACATCTCATATCTGCTTTTGGCTCCTTTCCTATCCTCTCTATGTAGAGCTTTGTTTTTTTTCTTTAAAAAAAAAATCTTTTTTTTTTTTTTTTTTGTCATTTTTGAGGAGGATAAGGAGGTAAGGTAGAAAAGGAGTGGAGATAAACATGTATTCAATCTGCCATGCTTAACTGCAATTTGTGAACCAACCTTTGTTTCTAAAGGATACACTGTTTCTCTATGCATCAAAATAAAACTGTCTGGGTTACTTGGCAAGTAGCTCATCTTGGAATATTTCCATTTGGGGCTGCCATAGTGATGTGGGTCTGCATCAGAATACCCTTAAGAAATGCAGTGTGATTGGGGTGCCTGGGTGGCTCAGTAGTTAAGTGTCTGCTTTCAGCTCAGGTCATGATCCTGGGGTCCTGGGATCAAGCCCTGCATCAGGGTCCCTGCTCAGTGGGGAGCCTGCCTCTTCCTCTCCTGCTCCCCCTGCTTGTGCACTCTCTCTCTCTCCCTCTCTCCCTGTCAAATAAACAAATAAAATCTTTAAAAAAAAATAATAACTCTTAAAAAAAAAAAAAGAAAGAAATGCAGTGTGACCTAGAGCTATCCCAAGTAATATAAGTCAGATTCTCCTGGTTTACTAGTAAGTAGTCTAAAACTCGCAGAAGATCAGAACCAACCAATTCCCTGGATTCTGGACTGAGATCCAGCCCCAAACTCCATAACAGCCCAAGGAACTAGAACTACCTAAGCTATGAGTCTCAGTATGAGCTGAAGAAATTAGACCATACTCATCCCTTTGTCTAAGGCTTTTCTAGACTGTGGGCACTCTGAAACACAGTATATCATAATATGAGAATATCTTAAGTATCATGTTATGACCTAGGTCCTTAGGTATATTTGATTTAGGTTTCAATTCCAGCTCTACCCTTTAATAAGATGTCAATTGTCTATATAAAAAACATTAGATAATAAAAAATGTTTCATTTTCGTCATGTAATAAGCCAGAGATAGGTAAGTGAGAGGAAATGCAACTGATCTATGATGTCAGGTACTTCCCACCTCCTTTCTTTTTCCCTCACCTGTGGCTTTCATCCTCATATTTATTATCTTCTCAAGGTCCTAAGGTAGTGTCTCCACCACCGGCCTAACATCTGCACTTCTGGCTCCAGGAAAAAGAAAAAGGGGACAAGGAGAGGGGGCAGAGAGAGAGCGAGAGAGAGAGAGAGAGCCAATCACAGATTCCCAGCATACTTCACATGCATCTCACTGGCCAGAACTGTGTTACATGGCTACTTCTAGCTGCAAGGGAGGCTGGGAATTCCTCCTCAGATACAATCAGGACTCTAATGAGTTAAGGAAGAGGAGTATTCGTTAGACAGCTAATAGTGCCACACTAGGTGTACTTCCTTGAGCAAGTTGTTTAGTCTCACTTAGCATCCGTAACTTTATTTGTACAATGAGAATAAAAACACCTACCTCACAGAGTCGCAATGAGAAATAAAGGAGAAAATGTTTATAAGGCATATAGCATCTTACCAGACACATAATATGCCCTCCATAAATGTTGCTTCCCTTCCCGTGATCCCTTATATTGGTCTGCTTTCTGAACACACCACAGTGTCAGCATATACTGTGAAGACCACAGATGTGTATTACTTGTTAAAAATTAAGTTTGTTTTGAGCATTATACAGCACCTTTTGGCAGAACATTAGTGAAAATGAGATTTGGGAATCACAAGTCAAAAAATATACTGAATATGAGAATGTCTGAATATAAGACACAGAGAATATGACTATAAAGATGATTTTACAGTCCATGTATTTTATTATAACCCTTAATCTTCCTTTATATCCCTTGCTTTTATAGCTATCCCACCCACCAACCTCTTTTTACCACACTCTTCCCTTGATCTTTTGAGAGCTTCTTTAATTTGTATTTACTATTATTTATCTACAAAGCTTTATTATGCAGTCACTGCACCATCATTTTGTGTGTGTGTGTGTCTGTGTGTTTCTTTAATCAGCCCCAGTGACTGACTGCCCCTTTGCTCCCTCCACACAAAGCAAAGCTGTGTGAAGCCCTTATAAACCAGGTTGGGTCAAGGAGGTGGGGAAGCTAATGTGAGGGGAGGGTTGTGGCCAGCCAGGCCACAACTGAGGATTTATGAAAACTGCAATGGTCTATTAGAGTTGGGGAGTCAGAGGGTGAAAACACATATGGTTTCTGTGTTTTTATGTCCATGGAATTTTCTTGTCTGTATGTGCGACGGAGCGCCTTGTGCCCTGCCTTGTTTCACACCCCGTGCCCTGTGACCTAACATGTACCCATGCACACAGTCTAACAGGGGACAGGGACCAGGGTCACATTTAACTATCTAAATTGGAAGGCACCTTTGTTTTCCTCTCTCCAACTAAATGAGCTCTGGTAACAGAGGGGAGAGGTTTGGTGTTGTGGCTGTTTCTGTTACAGTGAAAAAAAACAACAACCAATATTCCAATCTCGCATGAGCCATGTTGCCTTCTAAAATCAGCAACCAGGAACACATCCCCTTAAGAGAAAAACAGAAGGGAAAAGAAAGAAACCTCTCCCATTTACAAATGTTTTCTTTCCTTTGTGGCCCTTCTCTAGCTGGTCTTTGCCCACATTGAGTGCTGGCTCTCTGCGTAGGAACCAAATGCCACAGTCCAAAGGAGAAGCTCTTTCACAGGGAAAACAAAAGGCAGCTGTCAGTTTAATCCCAAACTCCCTGATAACATTCCAGCAGAGTTCCTTTTTCTGGAGATGAAATAAGAACCCTGGCAGGCCCTCTTGACTGGCCACATAAATCATTTGTAGTAATTGCTCTGAGAGAGGAGTGCCTCTCAGGCTCCACAGATAGAGGGGGGGAATCACACACCGACATCCTCCCCACCGACACACACACACACTGTGCCTGCGCCTCTGGCTTGTCCCACACACATGCACGTGCCCCCACATGTACACCCCCTCTTCTCAGGAGTTGCTCACACTGGGGTGGGCTCGGTGAGCCATATTAAAAAAAAAAAGAGCACGGCACAGAATAATGAATAGTCAGTTTTATGTTTCCTTCTCTTTGAGCTTGAGCCAATTTAAATTCTTCTGGAGTACAGTTTGGGAGGGGTTCTGGGGAGGGTTGACAGGAAAAGTGGGAGGGAGAGAACACAAAGGTAAGAGGGGGATGGTTATGATTTGGCTTTGTTAGGCTTATCCATTGCTGTGTATTCTATGATGTGTCACCTGCTTCCTCCTTTTTGCCTTTTCTGGTGAGAACTGAGATGTGGTCATAAAAATCCCCCACACTGTGATCTGGGAGCTGCTGCTGAGGCTTGGCAGTTCACTAAGGACCGAACTCTCAAAAGCCACAAAGCTATAATATCCCTTCCCCTCTGTGGCCAATAAAGATGGTGATAATCAAATAACAGGGCTTGGAAGTGGTGTGGTGCCTACAGGCCGGGGCTGCACACCCTTCACTTGTACCCTGATGTACGTTCATTGAAAGTATTGAGGCCACCAGAGATGGGGGTGGCGGGGGCTTCTGTAGGCACACATAGCTGTTTGAAGGCTGAATGGATGGATGAATGAATACATGAATGGATAGATGGATGAATGAATGATGGATGAGTAGAGTTCAGTGTTGTGTTACGAGCACAGCTTGAAAAGCCAGGAAAATTGCGGAGCTTCTGTGACAGATGAATGCCTTGCCCCTCTCCACACACCCTAAGTTATAACTCTCCTCGCATTATGACCATGGATAGAGAAGAGGAAGTGAGGGGGAAAAAAGCTAGACATGAGTGGAAAAGTGGGCGTTTCCCAGTGCCACCCTTCAGTCCTGCCAACTAGCCCTAGCTGTGAGTCAGAGCTGTCTGCCCCTACCACAAACGTGGAACCTGCCAAGCTAGAATTCACAGTCATT